AGTACGCGGAGTATCTGGGGAGCTGGAAGATGAGAACTGGCGACTTTGAGCTGGAAGCTGAGAACTGGTGAATACGCGGAGTATCTTTGGAGCTGGAAGATGAGAACTGGCGACTTGCTGGCACAACTTTAGTAACTTTAGTACGCGGAGTATCTGGAGAGCTGGAAGATGAGAACTGGTGACTTTCTAGTACAACTTTAGTGCGCGGGGCAATCTGTGGAGCTGGAAGCTGAGAACTGGCGACTTTGTGTTACAACTTTAGTACGTGGAGTATCTGGGGAGCTGGGAGATGAGAACTGGCGACTTTGTAGTACAACTTTAGTACGCGGGGCAGTCTGTGGAGCTGGAAGCTGAGAACTGGCGACTTTCTAGTACAACTTTAGTACGCGGGTCAATCTGTGGAGCTGGAAGCTGAGAACTGACGACTTTGTACTACAACTTTAGTACGCGGAGTATCTGAAGAGCTGGAAGATGAGAACTGGCGACTTTGTAGTACAACTTTAGTACGCGGAGTAGCTGGGGAGCTGGAAGATGAGGACTGGCGACTTTGTAGTACAACTTTAGTACGCGGCTGAGTCATCTCTATTCTGCATTTTGCAAATGCATGAACAACGTTTTTTTTCCTGCGAGACAGTTGACGGTGGTTGCTTTGCTTTCGCTCCATTGGTCGGTTCCAACTTGTTTTGTCAAAGAACATCGCACCTCGGCGAATCAGCCTGCCACATGCCCATTTCCTATAGGTTTATTCTTTTGGAAACTTCCGCCGCCGGCTTGCCCGGGAACTGCTTGTATTTCAATTCAACCCTAAACCCCCTCCTTGCAATTGATATTTCAATACAGACCCACCTCTCTCTCTCCTTCGCCCCGAAGTGGATCTTGTTTGGAGCGGGTTATTCGGTCTCGGGTATTTATGTGATGCGGGGATTCTGCAGGCTTTTGATGGTGCCTGTCTCATTACGAGCTAGGCTGGAGTTGTCGATGGGCGAATGAAGTGAGTGTAGGGGGTGTGGGTGGGCGGGGGGGTGACTTAGGTGTCTAGTTTGGGTAGGGCGAGCCAGAGCCTGGTAGGGAAATGTATAGTTTTTGGGGTGTTTTGATGCAAGTGATGTAAGTGGCGCCGAAGAGTGCATCATTAGCATCATGAAGGGCTCAGGAGCGTATTTAAGCAGTCTTTTGACAAGGGGTGGGAGTTCATGTTGGGGACAGGAAAGAGGACAACGTCACAGGAAAAGAGGTCGGGAACCCACCAGGAAAGTGCGATGTGCATCTCTCAGCCCTCTGGCTTCTTGTGGCTATATAATAAGTGTGGAAAGGGAACGCAAGAAACGATGTAAGCCGTAGAGGATTGGAGACAAAGTAGAGTGCAGTCAGCAACCTTTGCGCCCCTTTTTATGGTGAAGAGGGCTGTTAGCTGGACGAAAAAGGGCACTTCAGAGCTATGGATGTCCACGGCAGTTGGGCTTTGTTGGTGCAGGAGTTGATCCAGGCGTAGCGTAAATGGCTCTAGATCTAGCTTCAAAGTGAGATGTGCGTCTCCCAGCCCTCTGTTTTCTCGTGGCTGACAAGAGTGGGAATGCCAGAAACGATGTCGCCCGTAGAGGACAGGAGAGGGAATAGAATGCAGTCAGCAACCTTTGCGTTGCCTGGGGGTGAGCCTTTCTTTGGTGAAGAGGGCTGGCAACTGGATGCACCCCTCAGAGCTATAGATGTGCAGGGGAGTGGGGCTGTGGCGCAGATCGAAATCTATCCTACGCGCAGTAGCAGTGGATGAGCCGATTCAGGCGCTGCGCACGTTGGCTCTAGCAGATCCAGCTTCAATGTTAGGCAAGCGCGTAATCTTGCCAGTCAACATTCGTCGGTCCACTCTTGGCCGCGCACCGACTTTGGCTAGAATCTCGTTCTCCTGGAGAAAGCATTCGAAATGGGATCTCCTGGAAAGACGTAGAATGCTGTCAGGAACCTTTAAGTTGCTTGAGGTGCCCTTTTTCTTCGTGAAAGAGACTATTACCCGGATGAAAAGTAGGGCGCCCCTGAGCTGTACATGCCCAAGAGAGCCCGCCTTTCGTACAAACCCAAGTCTATCCTATTACAGCTCACGGTGAATGAGAGTTGATGCAAGGCGTTATGATCATTATGTCTACGCTCTGGCCTTCATCTTGTGTATACAGAGCCTATCGTATCCACCCTCAACGCAAGGCTTTGCGCCTCTCTGCCTTCTATTTCCCCATGCCTGACAGCAGTGTGCTGTCGACTTCACCCCGTAACCACATCGATGTCTTCTTGCGGAGGTCAGGTTGGCTGAATGGGCGGATCCTCCGGTAACCGTATCTGAAGGGGATTCTAACCGCGCTTTACACCAAGCCACCGTTTACACCGCAGCACGTTTTGCGCCAGCCGCCGTTTCACCACACCACACCACGCTTTACACCATCCGCCGCTTACTCCGCACCACGATTTACACCAAGCGGAAATTGTAAACCGTGCGGCGGTGTAAAAGGCGGTTGGTGTAAACCGTTGGCCGCAAAAGAAGATGCAATGGATATCATTGCATCGTTTTGCAGTTGGGGTGAGTATCAAGAATTCAAGAATGCCTGACAGGGCGACAACAGAAAGCGTTGGCCGATCACTCTGGCAATGGGAATGGTTTGGCATCATGAGAGGTGGCGCGTTCAGGCACCTGGAACCCTTCTACTTGACGTTGGCAAGTGGACGCTGCTCATGATGTTACAAACTTGAAGGCGTTAGAATCGTTTGGCTGCCCTTTCTATCTGGCACCTGGAGCGGGGTGCCAGATGGGAGAGGCTGCTTCCATTTGCTTTACTCACATCAAGACGAAAAAGGGCGCCCCGTCCCAAGTCTATGTATTGTACTATCCATGTCCGTTCTATCTCGAACGACGGCCATATCCACTTTACCGCTTGCGGGTCCTCTTTGTCCACTCTACCTGTATACATATATGTATCCTGACGAAAGCCTGCCGATAGCCTCGCCCAGAGGCCTCCCACAATCTTCCTTGTTCTTTGTTCACTCATCAGCAACATGCCATGTAAATTGTTTTGACTAGGGGTGGGGGGAGTTCACGTCGACGAGAGGAAAGGCCAGACAAGGGGACATGAAAAAACTGGGGAGAAGTCACCCCACGCGCTGGAGGCGGAAGGTGGACTCCAAAGGGTACCCCATTCGGGGAATAACTCACTGAAAACATAGACCAACACACCCTACCACACCTTTCCTGGATCACAGGGGTGCCTCTTTTCACCTCCACGACACCCCGACGTCAAGACGAAAAAGGGAACCCCGTCCCAAGTCTATGTATTGTACTGTCTATTTCCATTCTATCTCGACTGACGGCCATATCCACTTTGCCGCTTCCGGATCCTCTTTGCCCAATCACTTCATCTTATCTTGCACGCCAAGTCTTTGGCAAGGCCTACCCTGGGAGGCAGACCGCTTGCACCACGTTTGCCTCCTCAGACCTCTTTTTCGCTGAAGTACCGGCTCCCTGCGTGCCGCGATTACGTTCGCAAGTGGCACGGTGCCTACATTGACCGGAAGACAAGAAAACTAGTGCGGATTATCTCGGGGGACGTGACGGACCTTGACGCCAAACTTTTTCTTTGTACACTCCTCACAGCGCAGCTTCGGAGGCTGGCTTTCGTCCCCTCCCTTCTCAGGTAGATAGATGTTTATTGTATACACGATTTACACATACACAATCATACATATATGTATGTATGTATGTATGTATGTATGTATGTACACAACACAATAATTCCGATGTTCGCCGTCGCCTGGTAGTATTGTTGACCCAAAACATGGACTAAAAACTATCGTGGGTTGGTGGATTGCATCATTTTGATGAATGTCTTGAGCAGAAACCGTATATATAGGTTTTGAGAGAAGTGCGCAGCCGGTTGCTTATTTCAACAGGAATCCTGCAACAGGCACTGTTTGCAATCTGTGCATCTTTCTTGAATCTTGCATGTCCTTGTCCACCTATGGACTTGTACAGGCAGTCATCAAATATGGACCAAGATCGGTGCTTTCTGTGTGAGCTGGGTGAATTGAGCGCACACATAGCGAAGCTCCGGACAAGTTCTGCAATTTTGACGGGGTCATGAGGTGATATCTTGGCAGCAGGATGATTCAGGATGCCCGTTGATGTACAGACTTGCAGTACGTGGCCAACATTTGGCCACTCTGTTTCGCCGTAAACATTGAGAGGGTGACCAGTGTGACCGCATATTTGCTTAATTTGTACATTCATAACCATTCATGTGCTTGTCTTGAATTGAAAACACACAGCGGAGCACAACACTTGATAATATGGCATCAGTTGCAAGGCGATCGTGTGCTCCTCTATGTTCTTTCTTTTTCCCATGTGTTTTCCATTCAAGCACTGATTCACTGAATTGTTCTCAGAACTCTGCCTTGTTTGCTCGGCCTACCTTGCCAGACTCTGGCAGAGCCGCTCCTGGACCTTTCAAACTTGGGAAGGACCGTGGATGGCTCTGGGTGCTCTGGCAGTTTTGTGCGGACGTTTGAAACTTGCAAGTTAACGGTGAACACGAGATCATTCCAGATCAGTAAATAAACTTCTGCTGGTCTCAAAGGGGTGAACACTTGTTTGCATGATGTTTTCTGGTCGCACAGAAGTAGAAATCCGGGCTTCCATCGCAGCCAGGTTTGCATTTCTCAGGGCCTCATGCATAGGCAAGCGTTTAGGTTCGATCAAGATCATTGAGGGGTGCGCCCGCAAAGTGAACATCCTGCAGAGGCAGAGTGGTTGTTGGCTCTTGTGGTTCCTTCGACACAAAAGATGTGGCACACAATGCAGCTTTGCACAGCATTGCATGCAAACATGGACAATCAGCCGGTGCAATCTTGGCATGTAATGGTAGGTTCTATCGTGGTCAGGTACACATATTTGCAAACTCTCGACTTTTCAGACAATCTCATCAAAGCAGCGTCCCAAGAAGTTCATCTCAAACAAAGCCTTCATCCAAAGTGCATTTACAAAACCACTCGCATGCTCTTGATTGTTCGTTTGACCTTTGAAATGGGTTCCCTCGATGGGCTGGGCCGGCCACACGCCCAGGATGTGACGCCTTTAAAGGGTCTCAGCCTATTGGTGAGCAGCCAAGTTGAAGCCTTTGCGGAGCACGTTTGACCAAGTGTTAGGTGCTTGTGTAAGCGTGTTGAACGATTGCTGTAGCTGACGATGAGCATTTTCCAAGAGAGAGAGCAAAGTCAGTTAAAGGCTTCAAAACGACCACGAACTGGATGTTGCTTGAAAGACTCCTGAAAAGTTTGCATGGCATTCGCAGGGTTTGGCGATGGTCCTAGCTTTCCACGTTTTGCGGAATTTTGTTCTGCTTTTTGTCGTCAACATTTGCTTGAAAGTGTTTTTTAGTTCTGTTCCCAGCCCCTTGTTGGTCCAGGGCACCGCTTACCAGTTCTTTTTTTCCACACATCAAAGTCAACAACCGTCAGACTTTCACAGACAGGTGAAGCTCAACTTGGCAAAGAATGCCATTTCAAGCCTGAAAGGATGGGAGTCTGAGGAGGCAGTGGAGAAATGCAATTTCTGCTTGGCAGATTTTCCCATGCCTGTGCTTATGGACTTTGGGGCATCGGAGCTATTCTAATTCCTGTGATTCGCTCTGCAGAAGAGAGTCCCCTGTGCTTTATGAAGGCGATCTTCCCAAATTTGGTGGAGCTGAACTTGAGTGAGAATCAGCTGACCACGTTGACCCCAATGCCATTCCAGGAGGGAGTTGGCACACATCGCAAGTCATTCAGACTTTCTGAGCGGTACTTTTTGCAGACACAATTGATTGTGGAATTGTGGAATATCAACAGTACCTAGCTACGGTTTTTCCATTCTATTTCTTCTGTCAGAACTGAGCCATTCCCACTTGTCAGTGGGTTGAGTTGTCGACATGAGCCTGAGCTGAGCTCAGATTTATCAATCCAATTTACCAATTTACCAGGGAGTCCTTTGTTTTGTGCCGTTTGGGAAGAACTACTGGGTGACATGAAAGTGTTGGATCTGTGATGAGAGGCCCTGTCATCCCTCAGCCTGGCCAAGAATGAGATCGCAGCCTGTGAGATGGGAGGCGTGCAAGTCGCATCTTTGCCTTGCAACAGCAGTGATTTCACTGCTTGAGTACGCCCTCATATCTTGCAAATTGTAATTAGAATGGTCATGGTCACATTTCATGTTTGTCTTTGATTTCAAGCCACAGAGATTTATTGTTCTTGGTGGCTCAACAATTTCAAGTTTCTGTAGGGCATGAGAAGCTGCAGATACTGGATGTCTCATCGTGATGGCCTCAGTCGCAAGCTTGGAGCCCTACCTTAGAACTGCCTAAAAGTCCAGGAACCAAATGAATAGTGCGAGGGCTTCTTCAAGGGCGGCGGGGGGAGCTTCCTTGAAGCAGCTTTCTTGCGCCTAAGAAGCTACTGTACTTGTTAGCTTTACCTTCCTAAACTTAGTTAGTATATAGTTATCTATACTGTTATAATAGAATGTAATTAGTGCTGAAAAAAGAAGCTTCTACTAGCGGCCTACCCGCCCGCCCCGATGTGTTCTTGAAGAACCTGATACCTTTTCAGGGCTACTACAAGGAACACATGTCATTATGTTACTTAAAACACATACAGTTATATATTTTTCTATTTCTATGTCTATGTCCATGTCCATTTTTTCCTTTACTTATATGTTTTTTTTCCTTTATGTATGTCTATTTCTTTTTGTTTTTCTTCCGATTACCTTTCCTCCTTCGGCCTACCTCCTCCCAAGAGAAACAACCAAACTAGGCCCACACCTTTGTCAATGTCGGCCTGTTGAGCGAAGCCAATTGAACTGGCACTGCAAACTAGCTGGTCTCCTTCCGTCTCCTTTAAGCTCGAAATGGAGGGACATGCAACGTGTATGCACATGTTCGCCTCATGTTCACCTCATGCACCCTTACCTCTCTGGACCAAAGGCCTTTGAGCCTTGGACGTGCCAGGAACAAGCTCGCCTCCCTCACAGGTCTGGGAGCATTGCCAGCCCTTCGTACTCTTAATGTGTTGGCCACAGCTGATTGTATCAGAATCGTTTTGTTAGATTTGTCATGATTTGTCCAACTTCCCTGAAGACAATTGGAGACATGTGTACGGCATAAGGGCTGGAGAACAAGCTCAGGGACCTCTTGACAAAATAAATAAGGGATCTTGGTGGAGCCAACCTTTCCTTGCAAAGCTACTGAAGTAGTGCTGATAGGGCCTGCGCCGTCTAAGCTTTGTTAGTCTTCCACAGAGTTTGTAGTCAAATTTGTGTGCTTCAACTTGCTGTCCTGTTTGGTGGTTCAACACAAGGCCCGACTGCAGAAGTGTAGGATGACAATGGCGACGAGACCAACACAGAATCATAAAGTGAACATCACGGACTTTGTTTCAACCTCATTTGCTGACTTGACGACTCGGTAACACAGCCAGAACTGGAATATTATGAGACCGGGATTGTCTTTAGACTAGCAAGTACCACACATATTGGAATCACACCAAGACATCATGGGTCTGATGTGGAGATGTGGCTTTCAACCTGGTGCCTTCTTTTTTACCCGCAAGAAGCTAGAGTGCAACCCGGGACGCTTGGCGATGGCAGCTGGGCTGAGTGGGCAGAAGATTCCCAAAGAATATGGCCAGACTGCACCCTTTTTTCGCCTTGCGGCTCTAGTCGCAGCTTGGTGTGGAAACTAGGCCCACGGCTCATACATGGCCGTGTGGTATTGGAGGGTTTTCCAGACAATCGACAGAGTGTGTACCTTTAGCATGACTGTGTTTTTGAATTGTTATATTGTAGACATGGCCTCATGAATATGTCAATCTGACTAGGGAGAGGGAGATATAGTGTTTCAGTTTTGCCACAACAAGAACGCGATTTAGAGGGTTTTGAGGACTCATCCAAACTAACTATTTCTGTGCCTGACCTTGCATCATTTGGTTAGTTTTCCTACCGCGCAACCCGCTCCAGTAATCTCAGAAGACCGGAAGAGTGTCTTGGAAGTGATGCTGTTGGTATGCGTGTGAAGTGTATTTAATGCGAGACTCTCTCGTTCAACATGGGCTGAGCCCTATCAGCATTGGAACTCAACTGAGTCCCCCAAATGACAACAGTGGACAAATGTTGAGCATGCCTATTGGACAATCTCACCACCGAGTGGATATTTTGGCATTGGGATGGCCTGCTTTCTTTTCTGCGACACCCAAGCTGCTACACTTGCAACCAACAACAGAACCGATATGAACCACAGTCTGTTCAAAACACATTTGGTTGACGCCATCCTACTAGTAGCTCTTCATCCCAAAACATCCCCTCTGTAGGCTCCTTCACAACTTACAAATGGCCCACCGTTCAATTAACTTCGAAGGTGGATCTGATCTGCAGGGGGGCATCAGACCTGCAACACTCAGATCATCGGATCAGCGATGCTCGGATCAATGGATCTCGATCATTGGATCACCGGAGCACCCCCTCGATAGGAAGCCCCACCCGCCCCACCCGCCACAAGAAAAGTTGTTGTGATGCTGAAAAAAATCATTGTTCTACCTTGTCAATGCACATCGCGTGGGGCATCATCCGCAACGCTGCGCATAGGGTATCGCGTGACATGCTGCGTATGGGGCATCGCCCGAGACGCTGTCATTTGCTGTGAGTGCGAAGTTTTTTACTCGATCTCTATAGTGGAGGTTGCCATCCCATGGTATCCATAAGCCCACAGTTACATGAATCAAGCATTCATAAATATGTTTGGATCATGCTACTATATATTATTCTTTCTTTGGGGTCCACTCGCCGCTTCGCTGCCCTTCGTGTTCGAGAGCTAAGTCACCACGTCGTTTGGCTTTGCCTTTCATGTCATCTACTAGGGAGCTTCTACACTTGACCGAGCAAATACCGAGCATTAAATTAAAGACCACTCCAACAATACCACCTCCAGATCCTTCATCTTGCCGGTTTGTGCTCTCCTGACTTGCACCTTCCTGCATCCTACCTTTCATGTCCCCACTTCTCAGGCTGCAGTACGGCCCAAAAGTACAGCGCAAACCCACGCAAAATCGTGTCAAAACGAATGACAAACCACGGCCGTCAATGCGCCATGGTCTGACTAAATCAGCCCAAGAAGCCTGACTAAAAGTCCATTTGTTAGGCTTATCGCACTGGCTGGAGGAACTACTGTAGAGCTCTTACGTGGCTTATTGCATTTTGCTTATCCTTTGGACACCCATCGCTCATGTGAGGTTCCACCTTGCGCTGTGATATCGGCGTGGATGGCCAATGGTTACGCCAGCGCCCGTGCCCTGGCTGAAAACCCGCTTGACGTCCCAAATATCAGTGACTGGGTGGGTGGAAGATGTGCAACAAGGCCAGGCGTTTCAACTCGGTATGAGCTCGGATGGATGAAGTGTGGCGGGCCCACAAGCGAATGAACTGGTATTTATGGATGCTGGGTCTGTTGAACAGGCAGGAGGCTGCGCGCGCAGCCTGTCAAGGAAGTGTAATGTTACTAGCGCAAACGCAAAAGCAATCGCCTTTTGTGAATCACACGGAGTCGGCAATTGCAAACGTGATATCTACTACAGAATGATTAGTTTTCAAGTAGACCGCAACTCCCCACATGCCACCGAAGGGGCTTGTGTGACAAACCGAAGCCTGTGGCCTAGGTTCTTGGATCTCACACAGACGAAGCCAAATCAGGAACTAAACGGACTTTAAATGGAACCCAATTCGTTGTCAGAAGCCAAACTCCAAGCATGCGTTGACAGGCTGTGCAACTTTCTGACCTGAGGGTATAGCGTCTTTTGCAGAGCGCAAGGTGCTTGCTGTTGGCTTTGTTATTGCGCTTTTGTTTGAGCGTTGGAATAGATTAGGCACTGTTCTTGGAGGCCCAGCTTTGCTTGCGTGTGGATGGCGAACTCACTATCTAGATAGCCCACGTGGCATCTAACTTGGCCGACTCAGCCCAAGTCTGCTAAGTCTACACAGGGCGCGCGTGCTATGTTATACTTGCCACGCTTATATAATATAAGCTATATACTGAGCCCACTTAGTGTCGCACTTAGCTAGGCTATGTAGGCTACGTAGGCGATCTATGGCTTTGTCACTGTCGTTCTGAGGACCATAGTTCTAGCGTGCTTGTGAATACGCAGGCAGCAGAGCACATAAAACAAACAACGCAAGTGTGCCTACTTCGGCGTTAGAGAAGTATGCCAAGTTTGTAGCATTTTGCGTGACAGAACTGATCCAGCGGCCAGCGCTGATGGCATAGACTCAAAGTCTTTGGAAACAATCAGCATTGAATAGAATGGAGGGCAACCTTGTGGATTTGAGCGGGCCAAGTCAAGTCCGTTGAGACGCTTAAGCTCTTCGACCACGTGCTGGCCGGAGTGTCTGCCCCAGCCCTATTTTTGATGTCAAAGGGGCCATGTCAAATCAGTGCGTCGTAACACAGTTTCAAAGTTGAACCGCAAATAGACTTGTTAAACCTTTGCCTCCCAAAGCGGGCGGGCAGAACCACACCGCGGCGCGCAGTGGCATGGTAGCTTGCCAGTCAAAAGCAACGGGTCGGCGGTAAACCGTTTCACTGACAGCGCAATCGAAAGCTTCGTGTGGCGCGAAGTGGGCGTTGTGGAGCACGGTGGTCGCGCCGCGAAGACAAGCGGTCCAAACATGGTTGTTAATAGGGCAATGCAAATGAATGCGCCGCCCTGACCTGACCCAACTCTTACCATGAAAATGACACGCTACCGTGTTGCTCACGCGAAGGGTGGCAGGTAGGCCTGCCTGTAGGTAGATCGGGAACAATACAAGACTCTTCTCTATTGTACGAATCAAACAGAAAGTCCCAAATGAGCAGGTGGGCATCAGGAGTCCAGGGGGCATTGCGGAGAAGACGAAAAGGAAGCATTGCGGAGAAGACGAAAAGGAAGCGCGTGATATTGAAAGCGTGCCCAACCCACCCATTGATCAAAACGCTCGGCTTGCTCTTCAACGATTCCAGGGGCCATTCGCCAGGCCCAGGCGCTATGACAAGGAATCTTCTACGTGCAGCCTGCTTGACCAGATAGATACAACCGCCGGAGCGAAGACAGGTCTTGCAAATCAAGAGGGCTGAGAGAGATTGGTGTTGGGCTGGCTTCCAGCTCAGGGTGTTCAGTGAGTGGGTGGCCAGAATTGGGAGTGGACTTGTTGATGTGTTCCATGAGATTTGGGTGGGTCAGGGCGGGTGAGAGCAAAGCATCCATTTGCGCAACGGATGCCTCCAACAATACGAAGGTGAAGACAAAGCGCAAGTCCAAGATGACAAAGGCAATTCCAAACCTGAAGTACACGAAAAGAAAGTCTTACGTAAGGGATAAGGTGAGTCCAGTGTCCACAGGGGCCCCAAACGAAAGTCAACGGGGTGGCAAAGGGAAACTGTAAATCCCAGGCCACGCCTGCAAGCAAGTGAGGCGAAGGCTGTCTGCTCGCCTCGAGGTCCACTTGCAGCGAAGGCAAGAATGAAGCGCGCGACAGGTTTCGGATTGAATTTGATCCGTTCAAAACCTGATTGTCAGCCGTCCCAGCATCAAGCAGCGATTGCTCTGCCCAAAACTGGTGCCACAGGGTAGGCGCCTGTCAAGACCAGTTGCAAGCAGTGACGTGACACCTTTTGGCCAGGTCACGCCAGGGTGTCAGCATGTACTGCAAGTTGCCCCATTGTGTCCATGTCTTCTTTGAATGCCTGCGGCCTGCTCATCGGTTTCCGAACTATCAGCAGTACTTGGACAGATTAGTCGGTTTGCCGGGAAAGTGAGCTACGTTACGCAACCCACAGCGCACCAAAGAGATGTAAGGACAAGCGCTTGCTTGGCGAAATGCAGCGGGCAGACGCCCAAATGAAATATGTGTACGCAGCATGTAATGTCACATCGTGGTAAAACGGTCATGATACAAAAGGTCTTCGAAGGACGGGCATCACCTCATTGCGTTAGTTTCGGACCCTGATAATTCCAAACAACAACACGGTTTTAACATGGTCGAAACGATCCGGTTTCGGTTCGGTTTGGCGTTGCATCAATTTTTATCGGTTGGATGCTTCGGTTCAATTTTTCATCGGTGCGGTTGACGTTTCAATTCCATGCTATCGGTTCGATGTTCGGTTCAATACATTTACATTATTGAAAGTATATTGTTTCCCCTTTTTTTCGGTTCGGTCGCCGGTTCGGTTCGGTTTGCAGCGCCAGCAGCACCAGCAGCGCCAGCAGCAGCGTCGAGGGCAAAATCGGGCGGCGGCCACCTCACCAAGACCATTGCAGGGTTGACCTAGGAAAAATAAGACATAACAGCTTCCAGGTAGCGCGGGTGAATTATACTACGCTTAGGCCATGCTTATACCTTCCTCACATAGACTTCTCCTCCAAGGAATTCACGGCTCACTACCAGAGCTTTCGCGCTTTCCCCAGCAAAAAGGTCTAAACCCACTAAAGAAGGCTAAGGGCGGAAACCATGTCCAGGTGATTTTTCACTCAGGTTGCGATTTGAATCGCAACCCAAGACTGCGGATGCCAAGGGAGAATGTTGGCAAAGGCCGGGTTTATGCCATGTTTAGGCGTCTAGGTCCACTAAAGAAGGCCAAGGGCTGAACCCATTCAGGTATAATTTCGGACTGGACCAACCCCTTCTCACCTCAAACCAAAATTATTGAAGTGTGAAAAGGGCAGGGCCAAAGGAGTATAAACGCACTCTAAACGCAGTATAAACTTGCCCATGCCCTGCGCTCGTGACTCTCCCTCTTTCGCTCCCTCTCTCTTTCCCTCTCCTTTATTGTAGTGAAGCACGTGGAACATGTGCGCAGTGACACGCAGAGCCAAACGACCGCAGGTCGGGCTCGAGAAATTTTTTTTGGAGTTGGACACTCCTGTGACATGGACCCGACCGGCCCTAATGCGATGGCGCTCGAGATGGCGCGCTGGCTCATTGGATGGGGGAGGTCATACCCCGGCGAGTGGGATGGTATGTATGACATCTTGCAGTGTCTCTGGACCCTTAGCCGGCATCAATACGTCGACAACAGGACACACGGCATCTTGCCGATTACGATGGCAGCTTTGACGCTGGCCCGCGACACCGCGGACGAGGACCACCCATCCACAATACGGCTCAACAAGCACGTTTGCTCTTTCTACAGCCCACCTGGGACTGTGCCTCGGCCTCTGACCGAGATTCTTGGCTCCTGGACACATGATCGCCTGGAATCGTGGATGACGACAGCATCCCAGAGCGTCCCAGTGGCTCGACGCCTTCGCCGAGGAGCTCAGCTGACGAACTCGTGGGGCATCGAGTTCATGTTTCGCGTACCTGGAAGACGTGCACCTGATCGGCCGAGCCTCGTTGGTCCGCCGAAACCGGCAGGTCGAAGCCATCAGCACCACCATGATGGCCTTAGCTACGCAAGCCCCCGGTGACTTGGAATCGGCTCGCCGGTGTCTCGAGTTCGAGTCGCCATAAGTGCCACTCATCGCAACCTGGATCGGTATGAAAACTCGCATCATTCAGTCGTCGCTTGTTGCGCCCCCAGTCAGAGACGGACCGGAGGACCACACAGATCGTGACCTGAGCTTAGCTTCGGTGACTTGGTGTCGATCGTCGATCCATGTTCATGTCACTTCATTTCACGTGATGCACCCTCCGTGCACAGCCGACAGCCATGACGACGTCCTCAAATGATCAGTGGCTCACACTGACTAATGCCTGCGAAATCGCAGACGTGACCAGAATCCTGCCAACCCTCGTCGAGCGCTCCTGGACCACGCCGTCCCGGATGGCGGCGAATCGCCACTCATGGGAGGAACTCGGCCTCACAGCCGTGGAGCAACAAATGCTGCAGGTGCCCCTGGCGTCGTGGCTGACGAGACAGTCTGGCCATCACGACACGAGCGAACGTCGTGACCTTCCCAGGTGTACACCATCGACGGGAGGTAGTTTGAAACGAGCACTCGAGGCCGCTGAGGCCAATCAGTCCGACAGCACCCTGAAGGCCTTTAGGGATGACGTGTGGGCGAGGAGCAACTCACATCCACACAATAGTCGAGTGAAGACGTGGGAATCGATAGCCAGAGCATGGCACCTTTCCCCATGGCCACTGACCCCTGCGCTCATCGAACGAGTGGGAGCATCGCTCAAAGCCGGCGGCTACAAGTCCGCCAAACTGTACTTCAGTGCGGCTCGGCGCGAACACGTCGTTCGCCACGGAGACATCCCTGTGGAAGTCGAACTGAGCATCAAGGATGCCGTCAGGAGCATCGAACGCGGCCTGGGACCCTCAAAACTCAAGGACTCGTTCGACCTCACACTACTGAGGACACTGTGGGACCTCCCGAACTTCAAGCAGCTCGAGGATGAATATATCATGGTGCTGAGCGGCTCTTGGTTCCTGATGCGCGAGATCGAACTCGCAAACGCCCGGGCTTCCCACATCCGATTCGAACACATATCCTCGGATAGCCCGATAGTTCACTGGAGCCTCCCGGTCTCGAAAACAGACACCAAGGGCGAGATGATCGAACGATCCCACGTGTGCTCCTGCTCTGCAGAGGTCGAACCTCTGTGCATCGTTCACGCCCTGAGGCGCAGAATGGCCAAGATTGAGATCATGACGGATCGCACACCTCTCTTTCCCGACGGTCGTGGCCACACACGATCCAAGGCAGACACCATCAAAGCCATTCGGAACATCATTCACTTGACAGGGACAGAGACGACTCGAGTCGGCCCTTCCGGACGCCCCTTGGAGCGCTTCGGCGGCCACTCGCTGCGGGTAGCAGGATCCCAATTCCTCGCCGCCCACGGGGTCGACACAAACACCATCCTCCTGCTCGGCCGATGGAGCTCCCACGCCATACAGCGGTACATCCAGGAGGCGTCACTCCTGCGACCTTGCCGTCCCTTGGGGGCGCCAGACCACCGAGTCGATCGTGCCCGACGCGGAGATCGCCGAGCTCCGAGCCAAGCTCGAACGCCTGGCCGCGAAGGTCGCATCGCTGAACACACCACCGAAGTATGTGGTGATCAGGAAAGCCCATTTGCCCGACCCGAGAGAACACGGGGCGGTGCCAGCAGAATGGAGGACGAAGTGTGGACGCCCATATGGGCTAACCCGCTTCCGCCGATCCGATAGACTGGATCAGCCCTGTCGGCAGTGTTTTCCAGACACCCCCGAAGCTGCGGGGGCTTCCTCCGAAACAGAGGTCATGGATCGTCAATCCGACGAATTGGACACCTCTTCATCGAGTAGCGAGTCCGAGTGAAACCTGCGCATCACACAGACCGTCGACGCCCGCGATCGTATACCTGGCCCTACCCAGCTTTAGACCACCAGGCCCCGGGGACTCGCTGTTTCACACTGATACCTGGCCACACTCAGCGTTAGCCCTCAAGGCCCCGAGGGATCTGCAGTCGTCACTGTCCCGTGAACTCCACGTTGAGGCCCCACATCGATGGAGCCCTGGCACGACATGTTGAACCATCGCACCCGATTGTGTGCGTGGCTCAGGTGACGTGGGACGACGCCCCACCGGGTCCACGCCCCGCGCGACCACTCATGCGCGCCATGTCGGCGGAGCTGACGTCGCTGGCCACAGCCTGTGGCCTTCCTGAGAGACTTCATGGGTACTTGCGAGCACAGCAGGTACTTTCGGCCGGGCTCATGTCCGCCATGGCCGATTCATACCAAGAGATTGACGAGTTGCTGTTCAAGCCCCTCGTTGAGGGCATCGAAATCGAGGGCACCGAGTGGAAGGTCACACCCACCGAGGGCCCAGTAGCACGCGCAGCACTGCGCTTCCTCTGGCACCAGTGCCGGGACAAGGGAGGTCTCAACGCACAGGGAGGTGGAGTGCCCAGCATCCCGACAGGACCGACCCAACCCCTAGGCGGGGGATCGACCACAGAGCCATCGGCAACGAAAGCGGCGCCCACAGCGCCGCGGGAGATACCGCCACAGGAACTCCAGAAATTGCTGAGGTTCTATGCCGACACGGAAATCGCCGGGCGCCACCGCGATTTTCCGATGAAAGCCCTGGTCGGCGCCGAACGGGTGATGGCCCGCATCTGGCACGAGACATGGATCTCACACCAGTTCACACCAACACAGCTCCACGAGATCCTAGAAGCCAGGTGTTTTGATAGCTCCGGCTCTCTCAACACGCTCAACAAAGAGCTCAAACAAAAAGCCCAAAGCCGTCTGGCGGTTGATGAAGAGTGCAACACCATTGTGGTCGAGGAGGAACCACAATGGAGCCCCAAGGGCCTTCTGAGTCTGATGGATGCCTTGGAGGCCATTGAGCTCTGTTGGATCCTATGCCAGGTGGGGCATGAACTCGACATCAAGGAATACATCAACTGGTGGAGACAACTCTTCAGGTCCAGGCCGGGAAAAATCGAGCAGTTGAAGACCTACTGGCTCGATGGCGGCTGGCGGATCGCCTTGCTGATGCGGCAGGGACACACTTTCGCCCACTGCTCCCAGACGCTCATGGACGACACCGGCGCCCTCCAGGCTGCGCTGATGAAGGAGCTGACTTCCACCAAGCCCCCACAGAAGAAGCCAACGACTCGCCAGCCCCAGTCAAAGGGCAAAGGAGGGGGCAAGCATGACAGACAGGAGTCATCCGCCTGGACTTCTTCCCAGTCATCGCAAGATCGCCCCTGGAAGAGGGAGTGGCCTCAGTGGAAGGCTCACGATGGATGGCAAGCCCAGCCGTGGAAAAGGTCTTCAGCTGGGAAGACGACCGGCTAGGGACAGCGCGGGGCTCCCTCCGAACCAGAGGGAGTACCCGGGCCGAAGAGGCAGAAGACCACAACCAACCAGACCGAAGACCGAATGGCCAGGTACGTTGGCCCAGGTGCATCAATCCCTCAACCGATGCACAAGTGGTGGCTGGTCCTGAGCGTCTTCGATGGCTGCGGCACAGCGCACGAAGCGGCGGACACCGTCCTGGGCAACCACCGCATCTGGCACAGGATCTCGTGGGAGATCGACGATGCCTGCGCCGCGATCTCGGGAGCACGGTGGCCAGACCTCGAGCAGCGAGGAGACATCTTCGCAGACACCCAGGATGCCTTGCGAGATCGAATCGAAGAGTTGGATCCCAACAAGGAGTGCGCCATCTCGCTGACCGCGGCTCCACCGTGCCCGGACTTCAGCCGCATACGCCCAGATGCAGCCGGCCGCGAAGGGCCCGAGGGCCAGAAGTTCGACAACATGCTGCGATGGTTCGCGGCTCCCGAGGCCATCTTTGGACCACGGAAAGTCCTGCGACTGATCGAAAATGTGATCATGAGTCGCAAAGCCGATCTCAAACACTTTGAAGCAGAGATTGGCGTGCCCGGCATCATCGTTGACGCCCAGGACTGGGGCACAGTCAAGAGACCCCGAGTGTGGTGGTCTGATGCAGGGTGGTCACAATTCAGTGACACTGCCATGGGATGGAAGATCCAGTGGACAAAGATGTACGGCCTGGATCACTTGGCGTTCGAGCTCCCACCGGACCCGATTGATGCCATCCTTCCACAAGGCTGGAAACCACCCAAGTGCCTGGCCGAGGGCAAGACATTGCCCACGCTGACGACACCAGCCCCAGGACCAGACGGACGTCCCATTCCCAGGTCCGTCAAAGGCAAACTCGACTCAGACACCTTCCACAGGTGGGAGTGGGCTGGAAAGCAATTCGCTCCATGGCACTACAAGTCAGACAACTTGTGGGAGAACGAAAGGGGAGAGCTCGTGACCCCGAGCATTCTAGTGAAGGAACGCATCCACCACTTGCCGGACAACTTCACGGCATCAGCCCCGGACGAGAGGACGAGACACAAGATCATCGCAAACGGATGGCATTTGGGCACAGCCATCCTGGTCATGACACTCTTGACCTGCTTCCCCCCAGCAGCCACACAGGCCGTACAGGCCAACAGCAGCGTGGAGCTGCAACCGCTGGGACACAGCGCCCTGAACATCATGACATCCATCTGGCGCTCTGAGCCGCTGGTGTGCGGCCCCAACACAAGTGATCAAGACGACCACTGGATGACGAGATGCACATGCATCGAGCAGCATTGGCAAGAGAGCCACTTTCGACAACACCCAGCCGCAGTGGCACAGCCGTTGGAACCGGGACTCCAACAGACGATCGCACTCTGGTTGCACTGGCACCCATGCTTGCCTCAGATCCGAGAACGCTTGGCCGTGGAGATCGCCACGCTGGCCGAGGACCTGGAGGAGGAACTACAGGCCTGGCACGAGTCACGGACAGAGAACATCCGAATAGTCCTGGACCCTTCGGGACCGAACCGAATACACTTCCCCTTACTGTCCCACCTCCTGGGGAGACTTGGGTGGACAGATATACCACCTTGCTGAAAGAGATCGAATCGGGGTTCCCAGTCGTGGGCCGAATGAGTTCAGGCCTCGGGTGGAAGAAACGATTGGACATGAGATACGCACAGCCGAT